TCAAGAAGTCTCCACAAAAGAAATGGAAGGCTGGTTAGGAGAAGCAATGAGCAGTAAGTGTGAGAGTAACTGATATTCTCTCTCTCTCTCTCTCTCTCTCTCTCTCTCTCTCATGCACACACACACACACACACACACACGACTAGAGGGATAGGGGACACATGATAACGACATATAAAATGCTGAGAAGAACTGACAAGGTGGATAGGGATAAGATGTTACAGAGATGGAACACAGCAACAAGGGGTCACAACTGGAAACTGAAGACTCAAGAATTATTTCTTCAGTAGCAGAGTTGTTAGAAGTGGAACAATCTGGAGAGTGATGTAGTGGAGTCAGGATCCATACATAGCTTTAAGAAGAGATACGATAAAGCTCATGGAGCAGGGAGAGTAGACCTAGTAGCGACCAGCGAAAAGGCGGGACCAGGAGCTGTGACTCGATCCCTGCAAACCACAAATTCAGTGAGTACAAACAGGTGAGCGCGCGTGCACACACGACCACTGTAACCACATATAGGTAAGTAGGTGCGTACACACTGAGATAAAAACTGCGCGCTTAGGTACAAAAAAAATTACAAATACATTTCTCACGACGAAAGTATTTCAGGCACAAGCAAGAATAATTTCATTTGTACAAAATCTTGAAGTTTCTTAACAGTGTAACTGGGACGAGTGTGTGACATTTAGCAGTGCTTACAAAACCAGTTCAGACTTTTAAAAATAATGGCTTATTTATCAGTTAAGTTAAAATGACATTAACGGTGCCCGGCCTTCAGGAGGTCATGCCACTCTTTCTCCGTCGACCAACACTAGACAATAGCCCGCATACTTTTGTACTTGCCCATTAATGTTCGCCTAGGTCGAGGCCCTTCTCCTGTACCGCATAACCCTCAGCCTACTGGCTTTCTTAGTTCCTATCTTCTTGGGTGCTGGTGTACCTACTTCGGAAAGCATGAATCGAGTTTTCTACACTATCCTGCCCTTCCTCCATCCCATTTTTTTACTACCTTTGCTTTTTCCTCAGATCTCTGTGACTTTTCTGGCCACTGAGCTTCTACTTGTTTCTTTGCTCTGACACCTTTCATATCACTTTCTGTTCATCTTAGGTGTGCACTTAAGAATCTTGTACTTTGTGGTCTTCTCTCGACTCCTTGCTCTCAGTGACGAAAAATTTGATTAATTTCAGTTCTGGGACAAACTATTCTTTTAATTACTTATGTGCTTGATTAATACTTAGAAAGTACTGGTAAATAACTGGAACCCAATAAGTGAAGGAGGCAAAGACGACACACACTTTCAAGATTAGATCTGATCTGACCCTAGAAGTCAAGAATACTCCTACAAACATCTACGAATATATTAAAAACTAAACCCATACTGGGATGTATGTACGTGTCTTACGTTGCTATATGTAGCGGTTATACCTGGAGTATACCTGGAGGGTGTTTCGGGGGTCAACGCCCCCGCGGCCCAGTCCATGACCAAGCCTCGACTGGAGTACAGTCTGGTCATTCATATTATTCATATTTATTATCATTATACTCACAGGGGAAATGTTAAGCCCATTGGAATCATACATTGCATGGGAGGAAATCAGGTTTGATCTGAGGAAGGGAAGATCCAGTTCCTTGGATCAAGGGTCCTTCAATATCAATCAGAAACTCCACAATTAAATGCAAACTTCCTGTACTAGATAAATTACATAAACTGAAGGTCCAAACTTTATAATTCTAAGAAACATATATTATTCTAAAAGAATTAAATTTAATAAATTAACAAACTGATCTACCCATCTAAAGCATTAGAGGAGCTCATCAGTTGAGAGATTCACCTCAGAGTTGACTGATCTGCGGGACAGTCAACTGGTCTATAATGTATATTGTAATGAGATAACTACATCCCGCCATTCATCCTATCTTAAAAATCTCGTATAATGAAAACGTAATTTTGACATGAAATTGAACAACTTTTACCATTATTGTTAATAATAATAATAATAATAATAATAATAATAATAATAGCAATAATAGCATTAACAGCAAGATTCAGTAAAACTCTTCCATTATAGTTTTAACATTTACAACAGTGCATGATTTGCTTTTGTTGATGCGGTCTTAAATGTGCATAGAATTTTTTTAGTGTCCTGTATGTAGAATTTGTAATATGTCTACAGCATATATGTGGTTAATTAATATATATATATATATATATATATATATATATATATATATTATATATATATATATATATATTATATATATATATATATATAATATATATAAGTATTCGCTTTTTTATTTAAATACACTTACCATAAATTTAGAGACCAAAACATTAAATATCGTCATCTTATATACCCCAGAAGATATTCTTTCCTACATATTTTTTTCAGAATTTAGGAAATTTGAAGACTAAACGAGGCTTTAAGACATGTGTATGACACACGAGAAAGTCTGTCAGCTGTGCCGTTGTTGTTGTTGTTGTATCTCCTAATTATTATTATTGTGTTGTTATATCTTGTAACTAGCCTTGCTTTCTCCCTGTTTTCTTTCCTCGTGTGATTTACTTTCATCTGCTTTGGTTTTATTCACTGAAGAGCTGCTTTCACTGCAAGTATCTCCACAGAACTCATCCTCTCTCTCTTCTACTAGCTTTTCTACTTTTCTTAAAAAAAAAAGAAATAATGTGTAAAACCTCTTACAAAATGGTATCTTAATTTCAAAATAAAAACTGTCACATCCAATTTGTTATACTATAAAAAATATTCTTTCCTCATTTAATTTAATCCTTAATATTACCATATGGGATACTCTTATATCTGGCCCTATTTTACAACACTAATGTTATTAGCAAAATATAAAAACATTTCCTTCTTGACGGCAAAATGTATAAAAACTTCTATTCCTAATGATGATTCTTTACTTGTAACATTTCCTCTCTATCGTTACACGATTCTGTCTTATAAAATTATTTTTCCTTTCCTAATTGATATTTTATAATCATTGTAGCATTTCCCCACTCAACTGATTTAATTATCTTCTCTCTTAGTGTTTTCTCTTTAATGTAATAATATACAATACCTGTGCCATACCCGTGACCTGTTTCGAGGGCTTTCCTACTCTCGCAGCCATCCTACTGATTACCTTTTTACCCAGGAAACTTCTGTAACCGCCCCGTTGAATTTTACAAAAAGTGTGTCCTACTTTAGTTCATCTAGAAGCCCAGCTTTATCTAAAGTATACTACAACCCTCCCAGGACGCTCCCTACAAGAGGCGGCCAACACTCAGGCACTAATTAATTCTGGATAAACAGAGACCGCAGGTGTCAGAAACCAGTCCAACGTCTCCAACCGTCCAAGAATTGAAATTGGGTTCTTCGATTGAGAGTCGAAGGCGCTACTACTAAAATACGATCCACCTTCTAGTATTGTCACCTTTATAGAGTTGCTTTCACTTTCAAGTGAGAAGGGACAAAGCCGCTTGCTCAGAAGAGACAACACCACCATCATATGACCGCCCGCAGCTTACAGCCTCCCCAGCCAGGTCTTGTGAGGACAATATATTGGTGTGTGTGAGAAGAAACTTTTGTTGGTGTCAGCCGTGCCTCAGGTGCCAAGGGTAAGCTTTACTGCCACCTTTACTCTGGGGTTTTGAGTCACATCTTAAAGAGCTTTTCACTGAGTTTTGGGAGTCAGTGGAGAGTTTCGAGCACGTTCCAAACATCATGAGATTGTTTCGAGTGTCCGATGAGTGTGAGTGTGTGTATGTGTGTGTGAGGGGGGTCCCCCCCCCTCGGGGAGCTATCGCAAGATAGAAGATGAATGTCACCCTCCAGCCAGAGGGACCACAGCAAGACGTCGGCACAGGACAGAAGAAAGAAGATGAGCGACACCCCCTACCCCCGGGGGGGGGGGGGGGGCAATGCCGGGTCACCACCTGGAAAAGACCCGGGCCGGGACAAGACCGGCGAACCTACTACAATACAATGTATGTGGGGGGAGAGACAGGCCACCAGGGTGGTGTCACTGTGACACACTGCACCAACACTCATGCGAGCGTCTGAGGCAAGGGCAAGGGAAAGTTCCTTTAACACAATACGTTCACGACACCGGCTGTCACTGCTCTTACAAGCCTCTTTTAGCGGGGAGGAGAGAGCGTGTCCGGTGCATGTCAAAGACACGCCTAACCGGGGGGAAAAAAAAAAAATTTTTTCCACCCCAAAAAGATGGCAATGTTCCTCATTTGACGGTGTTTATAATGGAAAAAAAGCAACTTTACGATACTGTTAAGAGAGCAAGAGTACCTTTAAAGAGTATTTTGCATGTATTACTATACATGTAAAACTTAAGAACTAATTCAACAGCTTAAATTATCGGGAACTTAAACGACACACTTTTAAAAGAGAATAGCGTGTAAAACAATGTAGTTAGACCCTCATACACCATGAATACTTACTACCTGTATCCCTGAAGGTGGCGCACGCATAGCTTTACTCATTAAACAGCATAGAATAAACACAAAAGCGAACCACCTTCGGCAGGTGGGAAGATAATACGCGCAACTCGCACGGTGAAACAAGATTCAGTTCTTCAGACTAACCTGACAGGTCTCCACGACGAGCTAGGGAAAACAGTCATCAACACAGGACCAGCGCTGCTCCACTGTCCCTTCCTTGGCAACACATGTTCGATCCGAGAAATGGGAAGAGAGCTCTATTTTCTCAGATCAGAAACCCTTCAGCGGCACCAAGGAACTTCACTGAAGGGAGCTACTCAAGAAAGATTCAAGTTTACCCCTCTCACAACACCCGCTCTGCCTTACCGTCCTTTGCTATCAATTATATTTAAGCATTCGTGAGTTCGAAACTCAGTTCTCAAGACCGAAACTCAGTCCCAAGATCGATGCTCAGTTAACGAGCTCGATGAAAAAAAAAAAAAGATCGATGCTCAATTCACGAAATGAATTAAGGGGCCAAATGAAAGGTTCATGCAGGCTTACCTTGTATCCTGGGCCAAGGCGATGCATGGCGCACACCTGGTGAGCGGTGAGAGCCTCAGAGAAGAGGTAGACGGCACTCATCTGGCCACAGAACACTCGTTCTTCGTCCAGCTCCGGCGTTGCCCCTATGTAGCACTTGTCCCATGTCTGATGGAACAAGACCTGGTTATATTTATGAACATAAGTCTGAATGTGCCTGTCCTTCCACTCCCCCCCTCTCTCTCTCATAAAAATATTGCTAATACAATATGAAAGAATAGCAGAAAAAAATCACGAAATGAATACCTAAGAGTAAAACAGCATGAGTTCGTATATGGCAAATTTTCTCTCACGAATCTCCGGAATTTCATGACAGTGACATACAGCGAGAGTATCTTCGAAGACGGAAGAAGCTGTTATATAAATTGTAAAGAAAGTAAGAGAATCAATAAAGATGCTCAAGTGCATACAGGAGCACTTAGTGAATAGAAGACAGAGCATAATGCAAAAAAAAAAACAGGAGATATCAGAGTGGGCATGAATGATGAATGGTGCTTGTAACCCTCCTGTTTCTGATATATAATATATATATATATATATATATATATATATATATATATATATATATATATATATATATATATATATATAACAACACTACACTAGCCAAGGAGTCGAACCCATGCTGTTTTGGCCCGCCTCATGGTGAGAGGAAACGCATGACGCTTTAGACCACACAATCTTCAACAATGGTGCATCCAGCCAAGCTAGATGTTGTACCCACCATCGAAGGACATACGGTGGTGTGAACACCTCTGAGCTAATTTCATTCTACTCCCTGTTTGTGTACTAGCTCAACAAGCAGTATATTATATTATTGTACCCACGGAACACGTGGTATTGATTAGTAACAACACTGTACTAGCCAAGGAGTCGAACCCATGCTGTTTTGGCCCTGAGGCGGGCCAAAACAGCATGGGTTCCTCATAACTCAAAATCATGCAAGTCATGCTGGGAAGGACTTGGTCTCAATAAAAAAAAAAGTTGATTTCAGTTATAAATGATTAAAGGTGGACTGGACAAAGGAAAGTGAAGTTTGTTTTAAAAACAATGCTATTTTGGGAGGACTGATTTACAAGTGTTTCAGCGAGGGTTAGCTCCGGAAGGTATGCCTTTCATTTATAAGAGCTTAATGGATGTTGATTTATAACGGTGTAAGGTATATTGAGATGGATTTGTTAGTTTGGGCAAATTTTGACAGTCGGGTATGTTGGTTTGATCGACTTAGTTTGAGTAGAGGAATAACTGAGTTGCATGCAATTATTTTGGTAAAGTGGATTTCGTGTGGCCTCATAAAAATATGATAAAATTAGCATCATCATCATCCACACAATACTTACATCATTGGTGGAGACGAGCCAGGTCATGTCGGTGGCTGAAGCGAGTTGACCGTTGACAAACACCTTTATCTCGCTCTTGCTCCACCTGTTGTAGATATACACCACAGCCACCATGTACCACTGAAACAATAAGTAACATATTAACATCATCTGTACCTTTATGATCAATTCATGCATATAAAGGAAAACATGGGCCTCTTTAAAAGTAACACGTATATATAAGGAATAAAACGTCTATCTTGCGAGTAACCCGGGTATCTTACTAATAATACGTGTCCTAAGATAACATATGACTTTCCAAATACACAAACTGGAATTTCACACTTTTATGCAACAATATGAAAGAACTGTGTGAGGTGACTGGACCACAGACGTGAGGCTGGCATGTTACCACTGATATTAAAATATTCATGAGAGCATATTCCCTAGTCTTAGATTGTGACAGCGCCCACGGTTCCCCAAATCATCTTTTACAAGCCTCACACTGCCTACTAGCACAGTGGATAGCATTTAACCCTTAAACTGTCCAAACGTAGATCTACGTTTTTTCAACATTTTAAAGTATGTAAAAAAATAGAGCTTCTTTTTCTTTTTTTACATTTGAAAACGTTTAAAAAAAGCTTTGATCTACATTTTTTTTTGTTATATTTGAAAATATGTAAAAAATCGTAGATCTACTTTTGGAGCACTACGCATGTGAGCGTAGATCTGTTTGGACAGTTTAAGGGTTAATGATATGGTTCTACATTCCTGCCACCATAAAAGTAATCTGAGATTGAAGAGTGATGACTGATGCAGTTGACACCTGGTCCTAGGCACTTTCAACGTGTTGGCTTGTATGGCTACGAGACAGGGAAGCTAAACAAATGGACGTTGAACAAAAGGTATTGTGAAGGGAGGAAGAGGTCTTGTAACAAGACAAGGTAAAGGTGTTATTACTATTGACATGACCTTATTAGTAATGATTCCCTCCCATGACAAAATATTTCACAGCAGAATCTTGGGTTTGTGTACTAAAGGAGTCATACACTTAGTATCATCACGTTTTGCTGCCAGTCAATCAACGATCCCAAATCAATCTTTCAATAAATTTTATTATTCTAAGTATAATTTAGTTTTTAATAATATAATCATCCTAGAAACCTAAATTAAATTATTCAAACCTTATTTAAGGTCCCCGTAGAGAGACTTGGAAGGCTTATTTCATCAGAGTTACTAAGAGTGACGGTTCACTAGTGTGTAATTTGGAAAAATAGTGATGATACAGAACACTATCTCTACTTACTGTTGAAAATGACGTGATAATAATACAAACAAGACTTAAATAAATAATGTATATAATAATTGTCATTTTTATTATAATCATTATTGTGTTGTCACCACTGTTCAATATTGTCTATATTTTTACAGTCATTATCATTTATTATTATTATAACAATTAACAGATTTCTGTATTTTTTTTTTTCAGCCGCTAGTCAATTCACGATCATTGATTCACTTCCATTTGTGTGATTTGTTTCTTATGAAAATGACTGGATATTGTTGGTATCTATTGTAATAAAAATGTTACAAAAAAAGATATAAATGTAAAATCATTTATGAATAAAAGTAATATTGGTGATAATTACAACAAACATTACTGTTTGGATAACTATTACAGAGACACACATCTTGTCGATATAGAAAGACCATTTATCAGTTACACCTGTCTTGTTTAACCACTTGTCGCCTCTCAGCCATTCTCCCCCCCCTCCTCTTTTGGGGGGGGGATAAGGGGTTTGTTTGCATCAGAATAACTAAAGTGAGAGAAAGCAACTAACCAACACCCCACGTAGAGTTTACTAGCAACGAAGAACTCGTCAGTACGTTTAAAAAGTGATCATATGGTAGAAGTGATTATGCTCTAGTGCAGAAACGCAAAAACAAACATTACAATTACCATTATTTTCATGAGAAAGCGTTTGAGGAATGGGAGGCAGCAGGTTTAATCCAAGGAAAACGAGAGAAGCTCCTATTCGCTTGATCAAGAGCGATTTACTGGCATGAAGGCATCCCCCAAGGAGGGGGGATTAGACTACAAAACCTGCAAGATATGCTAATTTAAGACAGTGTTTTCAAGAAATTCAGTTCAAAATTTTACAAGAAGCAGACGTAGCAATGAAGAAAAGTCCACCAACAGCCAAAAGAGAACAATGAAAGAAAAAACTTAAACCAACACAAAAACACTCCAACTGTATTATCAGAGTTGTATGCAAGACAGAAATGCATGTACGAATATAAGCAGGCGAGAAGTCTCCTTGAAAATGAAATACTAAGTTAAGAGCAAGTCTGAAACAGTTTATTTAAACTTGTAAAACACACACACACACACACCCACACACACACACACACACACACACACACACACACACCACCATACACACACACATACACAGGAGCTGTGACTCGACCCCTGCAACCACAACTACGTGAGTACACACACACACACACACACACACACACACACACACACACACACACACACACTTGTCAGGATGTGAAACAGTCTGGGAAGTGATGTAGTGGATACAGGATCCATACATAGCTTTAAGAAGAGGTATATATAAAGCTCATGGAGCAGGAACAGTGACCTAGTAGCGACCAGTGAAGAGGCGAGACCAGAAGCTGTGAATCGACCCCTGCAACCACAACTAGGTAAGTACAACTAGGAGAGTACACACACAAGCACACAAAATACAGTGAATATAGATTCATGATAAGATTTATAAATCAATGGAGAAAATATTTAAGACAGTTTCTAGAGTGTAGTTAAATAAAAAAAAATTAAATAAAGAGTAATTTAACCCCGACAGTGTAAAAATTTGATAATGGGTATAATTAAGAGGTCAAGATAAATTACACAGTTTCAAGAGAAGGTATGAAACATCCAAGAATATACTACTGCCAGTCGATGTAACTCAAAAGGCTGGGACAGAAATCAATATTCGACACCCACAGACACAAATCTGTAAATGCGAATCTCGCTCTTCCTTAACATTTGTGGTAGAAAATCAATCGTCATGTCTAGTTTTTAAATTACACAAAGATGGGACTATTGTTCCTGACGACACCCAAGAACAGAAACCTATATTCATGTGCTCTTCTATGGTAGTGCAGACAAATCTCTATTCATGTGCACTCCTATGACGGTGCACACAAATCTGCATTCATGTGCATTCCTATGGAAGTGGTGCGGAAAGAACCATCAGAAATGGGTGAACCTTCCTTCTCTAACAATTGATAAAACAACGTGAACAGCGTCTAAAAAAATTACGCAATAACAAGAGAGCCACACAGCCAAAAGCTACCAGATGGGGAGACAAATTACGTGAAAGTGGTGCCGAAAATAACCGGGGGTTAGCAGGTCCCGCTGTGGCAAAACCAAAAAAATAACTGCATGAACAGGTTCTGCTGTAACAACACATCAGAAGTAATAACACGTGTGCAGATTCACAAAGACAACAGTAAAAATAACTACGACCATTAAGTTTCCATTCTTCTAGAGTAATGAGCACTAGCTGGAGTAGTCTGCTTCCTTAACCTTTCTTACTTACTGTAGTTCCATTACCGGCATTTGTTAGCGAATCTTTGTAATTTCTCTCTGTTCTGTGTTTATATATTTAAGTGCTCCTCTCGACACAGGCGATGTACATTCACTTCTTTTTCAGATACATGTTGTGTAAAGTGTCCTAAACACTTCATTGTTAAGATTGCTGTTAGGTCAGCGGATGCTGCTGTCTCCAACGTTATATGGTTTATACGAGCTTCAGGTGGTGCGTGATCCTAATGTCTAGGTCATTATCGTTGCTCGGCTCCTATAAATGCACTTAACTCAACTGAGGGACACTGTCTAGTCTCCTTGTACCTCCTCTAGCTTTTACTTTTTTTTTTACTGGTAAATCCTTCAACTGATCGAGATCCTCTTTCAGTTTGTTGCTGTCTTTATCTGATAGAATTATTTTCATAAGCTGGGCCTTGTCAACAAACATTGACGGGCAAGATTCAAGGCCTTTGAGGTATAGGACATGAAAGGAATAATAGGGGGTTGTGGGGGGGGGGGGTGTTGTTAAAATCGGCCCGTAGCGGCACTTTGAGTGATATTTCCTCCATTCTGAGTTTCTCACTTTGCTTTCTAAGAATTACGTATTTTTTTTATCCAATCTTTATTTGCCCCATTGAATGAGCGTGCTTTTCAAGCACGCTCATTCAATGGGGCAAATAAATGGGGCTTGTGTTGTACACTCTTGAATTCGTTCTTACAGTAAAGAAAAATACAGTCGAGCAATTCTTTTTTTATTTCCGTGAACATGTCATACATTTTGATAAGGTCTGCGGGGTAAAATTTGATGATCATGAAGCCTTGTTGCTCTGAGATCAATCTCGTTCCCTCAAGGCAGTGTTACAGTCGCTTGTTATTTTCTTCCCCATCACTTCGAATGGAGTGGAATGCTAGTCAGCGACATTGGTTTGTGATTTAGTGTGATTATGTATATGCGGGAGGGGGAACTGTTTTTACACTCATCAGTGAAAAATCTCCTGACGCAATTGTAATAGTACCCACTGGTTTATCACAATATATATAATAATTATTTAATATATTAATATATATATATATATATATATATATATATATATATATATATATATATATATATATATATATAATATATATATACACACAGCACACAACACACACACACACACATACACACACACACACACACACACACACACACACACACACACACACACACACAATGGGTTCGGGAAGGAGATTACAACGGTGTGAGTGAGGGTGACGGGTCACTGGGAGCAGGTCACCTAACTCATTAATCATACCAGCTGTGGCAAAAAAATCGTTGATTATAAAAAAAAAAAAAGCGCTGTACAACAATGGGGCGCTGACGGTGCAGCGCCACTGTGCGACCTTCACAACAACTGCTGCCTCAAACCCTAACACGAAAATAAATTATTTGATGAGGGGAAAATCAAGAGCGAGTTTTCTCATTTTTAAGTGTTCCTCCCGCGCTACCCGGTCCTTCCCCCCGTCCACTGGTCGACAATGCACAAGGCCAGGGCGTGAAAGTGTTCTACCAGCGACGAGCAAACACATAATAAACTTGGACAATATGATATACAAATAACCTGCACATAGGAAAAAGAAACCTTATGACGATGTTTCGGTCTGACTTGGACCATTTACTAGCCACACTAACACACGAAGGTAAGGGACAATATGACACAAAAGCAGTATGAAATACTTCATAATACCGACATGTCGCTCATGCTCTTGCGTCACCCACACGTCATTATAAAGTGTACTGTATTCCATACTGCTTATGTCTCTTACTCTCCGGTTTATTTTGTGTATCTTTATAGATACACAAAATAAACATACTCAAATGCTCCCAAACTAAAACAACCCAAGATAATTTTGATCCTGACATCCGACGTCATCAGCTGTCAGCACGTATTCACCCGTATGCACGTGTTAACCCCTGTGCACGTATTTCCTACTCCACGTACCAAGCTTCACTTGTGCACAGTAAGATAAGACTGGACTCACCTTCCTGGGCTGGAACTCATACTTGATGCAGTGTTGGTATCCTTTGCCCTTGACCTTGAGTGAGGTGAGTACCAGGCAGTTACCCACGAAGTGTGCTGAGTACCCCACACCTTTACTAGTCTTGAAGCTGTAAGGAGACAACACAAAGTAAATTATTAATCTTATACATAAATATTATATTTGTTTAATTAACGCGCTAACGTGATTTAAGCTTAAATATACATTATCTCACTCCAGAACAGCATTCGAACATGCTACCCATTGTTTCCCATTCACGGAACACCAAACTTGTGATAAAGTTATTTCACATCCTGCCGATCGACACCATGCCTAACCCTTCTAGGGTAGGGTAGGTGCCTGAGCCCGAGCCTTTAGCTCATAAGACTGTCATTCCCATTTGCCCCCTTGGGGCGGGGATGGCAGACCAGAGAGGCCTAGCTTGTGGCTAGGCCTGGGGACAGTTGGTCCCAAAGATGAGGAGGTACTTGTGCCTCCTCCCATGGGAGACTTAGGTCTCAGATACTCCCTAAAGAGGGAGCCAAGGCCGGGCCACCACTTGGACAAGGCCCGGGCCGGGAGAATACCGGCTAATATTTAACTAACTAACTCACATCCTGCCACATGCACTGAACTTCGATAAGAGATTATAGAATACTTTAAAAAAAATAGCAAATGAGCGAACCTTGCCCTAACCTAGTTTAGTATATTATCTTTAACGACATACATGACACAACTCTCCCTAAACTCTCGTAAATGTCAAAAGTTTTAAGAGGAAGATTAACATAACACTATTACAATCAATACCGCTATCTACTGCCTTAAATACACTTGAATAAGAGTCAGTTCCTAAGGCAAGCGGTAATTATACGATTAGAGTTAGTCTTGAAAATAATATATTAATGACGAATTCGAACATTTCTATTGTTTACGGAAGGTGGAGGTAAAGAAAAGATTTCCGCGGAATATGAACAAAGAATGATCTACATGATTCTATGAACTTTCAAGACAAACCCATGGCATTATTCTATATTACTCAACATTCCTTCCCACTACGTGACAACTACAAGACATTTACGTTATACAAAGCACGACGGTGAACAAACTAAAATCCCTATAATTTTAGAACAATGTCAACTATCACTTTTTCCCAAAAAGCTTTAAAATTTGCTTTCTACAAACAGGTGTAATTAGCTGGAATCTTAAAAAAAGGAAACATAAGCAAGGCTTGCTTTGTAAATGAGCCGAGGCAAAAACCTTTATCCACAGATTACGTAACACTAAGGTAAGCATTTTAGCAATGTGTATTAACAGTGGCGTTGTTCCCACCTCCCCCCCCACACACAAAATAGTTGACGACATTCCTGTATTGGACTGAGGAAGCCACTGTGTGGCGAAACGTTTCCACAATAAACATACCCAAGTGTTGATATGTGTCTAATTTATCAACTTGTCGGTTCTCTAAACCATTTATATACAAGAGTATCTTTATGGAAACAGGTACTAGAATGAACCCTCAGACCTACGCTCACATGAATATCTTAATCTAAACAGTATCTTGTGTTGTACGTTCTGCACTTCTCTCTCCTCCTCTCCCTCGTATTTTTTTCTCTGGTAGTCATTACCAGTTTACGATGCATACATTTGAAAAAAAAAAATACACTATCAATATACATCAAAAGAGAAGGCTATCTCCTCCCATGCATGGCATCAAACATGTTTTAAAGGTTATTTTGGTCCATTCTTCACCTGTGTGAACAACAGTCAAATATAAAGATTTAACATTAACATCTGAATTGATTAATACGTAATTTTTAATGCATACTCATATTTTCTTACACGTTTAAGGTAGGCAACAGTTACTTACCCAGCTGTTCCTTACAACATGAACCATATTTTCTCGAAGATTATTATAATAAAAAAGAAGCGCTAAGCCACAAGGGATTTTCTCGAAGAATTCTGCGTCTTGGACTGACAACACTAAACGTTTTCGGTATATAAAGTGTTGTGTTTTTGCTGTATTATCGAAAAGTATCAAACTTCTACACAGAAGTACTCCACTACACAACATGGGTACTTTGTTCTATATTTTTCTGGCAAATCTTCAGCAAGTCGTATCAATATCATGGCTCAAATACGTTTAATCCATCATTTTCTCAATTAACTTTCTCGTAGCGGCAATGCAGATACCGTGTATTTAATTTTTCCCTTTACTAAATGGTCATTACCAAATGTTAAGTGCATTACCACTAACTCCACATCTTTCGTTCTGTAAAGAACTTAACCATGTCGCTGGAGATCTCTTACTTCATTTGCCAGGTCTTTATTTTAGCAGTCAAAGTCTGGCTGGCTTTACCTTGTGGGTGTTTGCCTGCAAATGCGCGCGCCCAAAGGTCAAACTAGCCCTCTTTCCTGGAGTATATCTAGAGGGTGTTCCGGGGTTAATTTCCCCGCGACCCGGTTCATGACCAGGCCTCGTAGTGGATCAGGGCCTGATCAACCAGGCAATTACTGCTGGCGGCACACAAACCGACGTACGAACCACAGCCCGGCTAGTCAGGTACTGATTTTAGGTGGCTGTCCAGCTCCCTCTTGAAGACAGCCAGGGATCTATTGGTAATCCTCCTTATGAATACTGGGAGGCAGTTGAACAATCTTGGGCCTCTGACACTTATTGTGTTGTCTCTTAGCGTACTTATGGCTCCCCTGCTTTTCATTGGGGGGATGTTGCACCGCCTGCCGAGTAATACTTTTGCTGTCGTCGGGATTTATTTCCGTGTGCAAAGTTGGGACTAGTCCTACTATCAATCCTTTCACAAAATTCTGTACTATTCTTTCTTCTTGAAACTTCATTATTTATACTGAGAAAATACTCTTTCCCTTTACCTGCTCACTTATGATTTTTCAAGAAACAGACGCACAAACAATGGCATTTCAGTCCTCCACCTGTGAGGTTTCTACCTATCCTTTACCAGCCACCGTCAATAAACCATCAAAGTCTTCCTGCCTCTCAGTCCACTGAGTCCTGAGCGCCCGCCAGGGGTTGCTTCACGCCACGCCCCAGCCATAGGGCCAAAGGCACAGCTGAATAGGTCAACATATCACAAAGACCCGAGTCTGGTGACCCGCCCTGACGAACGTAATAAATGGTGTTTACTACACTTTTTACCGATTTTTAAGTGCCTTTGGGGCATTAATCATACTGCTACTGTATGTGGACGTAGGCAACGGAACCTGGCTGATGAGAAATAGTTTGAAAGTTTTCTAAGACAGGAGTCTGTTGGTAACTTCATTTATTTATGAAGGTAAAATATTTGAATGACCTGAACCCTTTATGTTTACTGTTCTCTTTTAATGTATTTACTGCATCTACCACTAGTTGTAACGAGGAATTACTTCTTTTTACATATATGAATTTTTCCTCCTCTTTTTTTTTTTTAATTAAATTTGTGTGTGTTAATCGCTTATTTTTCGGTTATCGGAATAGCTAACATTGTTGCCAGCCCAACACACAGTTTTCAGAGTCGTTCTTTATGTTCTTTTATAACCTATGTTTCCTCTCACCCTTCCTTGTGTGTTTGGTTTCCTCATCTATGAACTACCTCTCACCTTCTTCAAATACCAACTGATTGAATTCGCTCTTGTTAATGCCTGTGTACACACACCTGATGCATACCTGCAGTGTTCCTTCTGATCGTGTACACGCACCTAATGCATACTTTCAGTGTTGCTTCTGGCAATGTATACACACACACACACACCTACCTACAATGTACTTTCACACTTGCTTCTGGCCGCTCCTCCTTGCCTCTTAGCGAAGTTTGTCTAACATTCATTCTTTTCACGACATTTTACTAAGAGTTTACTCGTTATTGTGGTTTTGTATCCCTTAAATTTTTCCTTTTGCTTCCATTCTCCGTCCGTTTCAAGCGTCTTGCATCACACCCGTTTTATTTTTTAACTGTGTAAGGAGTCACCGTCGCGGTCCTGTCACGCATCTCGTATTTGAGACTATGAGAGCCCCGGATCACACTATCACTCTCCTGAAGTACCTACAGGATACAAAGTTCATTTCAACTTCCCACATTCATCACCATAAAAGTACGTCTCAGCCAAAGAGACTGGTACTGTTGATATTATTGTCTTTGTTTTTATTATTGCTCCTTTGTTGTTATTACTACGACTATTATTTTGTTATTATAATTAGTGCTGATAATAATGCTCGTGCTATTGCCTGTTGCTACTGTTATTGCTGCTGCTACTACAGTCGGTGGTGGTAGTAGCGCTTTTGCTGCTACTACAGCAGATGCTACTGCTGTTACTACAGCAGATGCTACTGCTGCTACTACCAATATTACTGATAGTGATAGTAACAGAGTGACAGAGTTTATAAAAGCAGTGATAGCACAAGTTATGGTAGACTCAGAACACATACCAAAATAACTTAAAATCTATTTTTTTTTATTTTAACGAAATTATGGTATATCCGCCACTGGTGTGAGCTAATATAGTATACATACTCTTATATAAATTGTCTGAGTACAATTAGAAAAACAAATCTCAGCACGTACGTAACAATTTTAAAGATATATCTTTTCTTAAAAACTTGCAGGAGGGATTTTTCTCTTCAGTAATAAAAACGGCAATAATTACGCAATATTCTGCGTATTTTTTTTAATAATTAATCTGAAAGAGCAAGAAACAGGTTTATCTTGTCTCATCACAAATTTTTCAATAATACAGAACAGTTGTACATGTATGGTGTACAATACAGACAAAATGAAGAATTAAGACACATGTGCAATATTTGGGTATCTTCATTGTAGACGTCTCGCCATTCAGCGGCTTTACCAATACAAATTCAATGACATAATAGGAAGACTGAAGGACTATATATAAAAGATGAGGAAATCAGTCCCTCAGCTGAGGGACTGTCTTCTCATTATATCCTTGAATTTGTATTCAAAAAGCCACTGGATGGCGATACTTCTACAATAAAGATACTCAGATGTTGCACGTGTCTAATTTTTCATTATAGAGCAGAGTTAGTAAGAGCCTCAACGATGCGTATCCAAGGTGAGTTTACAAGGACCCCTGGAGTTCCATAATCTCCACACTCCTTTGTGATGATCTCACAAGACGCAGATCAAAGCGCAGCTGCGCGTGTGAAAGTGGCAAGTGTGAGACATTAATACTAATTGGTTGTTAGTTGATGAGAGGCCCATTTCTGCAGGGCCGTCCTCATAACGAGGGTTGGGTTTCCATGGAGTTTAGCCTCGAGAGTATTATCCTGTGTGTTTACCCGACTCTCGTCACTCCTAGATAACATACACCCAGAGTATTCAACTATTATTTTGGTTGAGGTTAAATTACGTAAACTGATGTTAAATAATGATAATGTAACCTAATCTCAAATAACTTTGATTAACCTAAGGGCCGGGTGACAGAGGGAATATGTATGAACATACACTGTTCTAAATTACACGAAATTATATGCCTTTGAGAATGAATGATGATATGGGGTCATGTTGTATTCTTAAGTTCGCCTTGTAATGGAGGGGCAGACAACACTCCCGTTATATAGAGTACGAGAGGAACAGGAGTTATAGGGGAATGTGATTGCAGGGAGAAGGAAACGGGAAAGAAAGGAGGGATGAGATTGGAGAGGTGGTAGATGGGACGAGACGGAAAGGTGAGAAAGGAAATTAGAGAGGGCAGAAAAGAAATGAGACGAGAGAGAAGAAAAAGAGCGGAGAGGAAAGAATTACAAGAAATATAAAAGGCGGAATTTAAGAAAGGGGGTGGACGGTAGTAGATGGAGTAACAAATGCTTCGTAGTAAATCGTATATTATTTTGTATTTTATCCCGAGGGACGAGTTTAATGGACAGCATCACTCATCCTGTGAGAGACCATTACGTCGTTAAAGCCAGCACATTATACCCCAAATGGTTGACACGCCATTGGTGAAATCAACTCCCTCTTAAACTGTTTCAATATAAAATATATGTAATCACTACCTTTATAAACTATCATGATCAAACTTCAGGAAATTCAACATATTTTTTTACAAAATGTTACCAACCTTAGTCGTAACGTGTTTAAACTCTTCATACATAACTGTGTATTAATTTTGTACTATTTATTAACATACAGGGTGTTTCAAAGAGATGGACACTATTTCAAAGCAGTCTGCTTTGAACTCATCCTCTAGATAAACAGAAGAATGGACGGGGTACTAGAACCGTGGTCTTGGCAGTTAGAAGGTCCAGCACTGTACCACTAAGCTATGAGGCCTAGTGGTAGAGGTTTCACAGACAAAACTTCTGTGACATGTAGGTAAATGGTTCAGAGAACCTACAAGTTGATAAATTAGACACATGTGAAACACTTGGGTATCTTTATTGTGGAAACGTTTCGCCACACAGTGGCTTCAACAGTCCAATACAAAGAAGAATGATGAAGACCAGAAATATGAGATAATCAGTCCCTCAATCTGGAGTCGATGTGATCAGTCCATCCAGACTGATGAACTGATTTTTACGAAGAAACCAACTTTGTTCTGATAATTAATCCTGGATGGTTAATAATCTTGGGTAATCCAGGGTTTCTGCTCTTAAGATCCTTCCTAAGATCACATCTGACTGCTTCACTAGTTTAGTCTGTGCTTTGAACACAAGAAGTTGCTGAAATCATTATTAATTCGCTACTCTCATAACCCATTTGATGTTATCATTATCCATTTATCATAATCCATTGCCGCTATCGTTACTAAGTAGTTACTGTCACTAAGGTCGTTGCTGTTATGACTAATCTGCTGCCACGTCACAGAAATCGTTGGTGTAAGAAGAAAATGAAACTATCTAGTTTCATTCCACAATCTATAACTCATTTGAAACTCTAATACATAAGTACATTATAGATATTACCATGTAACCAAAAAATAAGTCAGGAATGGGGATATTAAGAGGAAATTGAGTGAATCAATTAGCTCCGGATCATTAGAACAAGAGCCCTTCACCAGCGACAATTCACCCTCGTTGAAGATTTCACAATATGGTTAATGTTTGGTAATAACCGCCCGGTTCCTACGGGAACCACGAGGTTATAATTATTAAATTAGAAACTCGTCTCCAGTAATGACTGAACTACCTTGAGTGAGTGGACACGCTTGTTTGTGGGTTGCAGCAGCAGCATCCTCACAACCTCTAGTTACGACACTGACAGTATTTACACCAAGAAGCGTATCTTTCACAATGTATAGTGAAATTAAGCACAACACATTCGTACAAGCCTCTTACCATTGTACTAGGTGACCTTAAAAACTGGCCTAAAACAGTAATTTCTCCGTCGGTAAACATCCTCTGCGTTGACAAATATTCATGTCATATATTTCTCAGATGATCAATGTTATCAATTCCATATATTCACACAACACACCCAGCCAGTGAAAAAATAGCATCAACACACCATCAATGAGTGATGAAACATTTTTATTGATACAATCTGCCAAGTTGCAAATAGCATTTTCTTATATACATGTTGTGCCGAATAGATAAAACTGGTCAATTAGCAAGAACTCATTTAAATTAAGTCTTTTCTAAAAAATTTCTCTTATCCGTTTAAAGATATATTTTGTTTCATTTATGTAATGTAAAAAGAACATTAGAAAACATACCTAACCTTATTATAACAAGCGCAATTTAATTTAGCCTAATCCAACTAAATATATTTTTAGATAAGCTTACAATAATTTAACAACCACAATGAAATATATTTTTTTCGTTAGGTTCAGAATGATTTTTGCGAAATTATTGCGTATACAAATTTTCGCTTGTCTTATTCAGTAAGAAGAGCGTTGCTATTTAAGCCAAAATAGCAAGTTCTACCTATTAGACACTACATTATATAATATATATATATATATATATATATATATATATATATATATATATATATATATATATATATATATATATTAGTACATAATACAGATAGAGTTCAAAATTCAAATCCGGAGGTTAACCTAGGTACTTGAAATGGAAGGACTAAATCTTTGAGCTTCTGCACACTATATTTAAGTCAGTCTTGAAGATCAGGAGAGCTGTGAGCTTTCGTGATCAGCATGTTGAGAATAACATCGATTGATCAAGCTCGGACAGGCAGTACCGGAACCGAAGATGAGTTAAGAAGTGATAAGGACCTACAACATCTACAGAGGACAAAGATCACGTAACTAGAATATAGAAAGGGCGATTGTGAGATGCGCAGAGCCGGGACATGATGGCAGCTTCAATGATAGATTAAACGCAGTGATGTAGGAAATATTTTTCATTATGGATTAAAAGGATGGTTAGCGCACATATAGCAATTTAAATAATCATGTTATCTTGGAAGCAGAGTCAAGAATGTCAAAAAATTTAGTTGGTGGCGAGGATCAGGTTCCTTCCCACCCCTGCAATACAAGGCAACAGACATAAAAGAGTGCAATGAACAATCATATGCAGGGGATACAGGTCTGCTTTCACATTTCCTGGATTAAATGACTGCACCTATGCTATCCACTCTCTTAACCCTCAAATTAAAAAACAAGCCATCAACTGGTGAATGTGATGCAGTGAAGGAGGTGTTGTGAAGTGTAGGGTGGTGTGTGTGGTGACAGTGTTTGCTAGTGCGCGAAAGATACTGGAAACTAATATCCTAATGCAACCAGTATTTATCCCACAGGACAAAAAGAGTAACTTTAGCGCTTTAGGTTGGAAAATGTATACAGTGACAAAGTTGCAGATTTGTCAAGTATGTTGGAGTAGGTACTGAAAGCGTGAAGATTATAACGAGATAGTGAGCAAGTTAGATAGTAGAATGAAGACATTATATGTCCATAATACGAGCCTACAAGATGTTGATGTAGTGGGTTGTTAATAATTTATAATGGATTGTCCAAGCTGCTCTTTGCTGATGACATGTCTCTCAAATGATTCTGATGAGAATGCAGAATTGGTGGATGTTTGAGGGCTTCAAAAGAAGAAAATTAAAGGAAATGACAGGAAAATAGGTTATGAGGATAACAAATAATGTGATGTAAATGAGAATCAATTGTTTCAGGAGCAGTATGGAGGAGGTGAACGTTTCAAATTTGGGAGTGGAAGTGTCAGCGATGGGTCTATGAAAGATGAGGTTGAATCATAAATTTGATGAGGGAAAACAGAGTGAGTGGTGCACTTAGGAGTCTGTGAGACAAAGAACTTTGTCCTGGAGCAAAGAGGGGAATGTATGAGAGTATATTTTACCAACGCTCTTATATGGTGTTTAAGCGTGGGTGATGAATGTTGCAGCGAGGAGAAGGCTGGAGGCAGTGGAGATGTCATGTCTGAGGGCAATGTGTGGTGTGAATATAATGCAGAGAATTCGTAGTTTGGAAGTTAGGAGGAGGTGCGGGATTACCAAAACTGTTGTCCAGAGGGCTGAGGAAGGGTTGTTGAGGTGGTTCGGACATGTAGAGAGAATGGAGCGAAACAGAATGACTTCAAGAGTGTATCAGTCTGTAGTGGAAGGAAGGCGGGGTAGGGGTCGGCCTAGGAAGGGTTGGAGGGAGGGGGTAAAGGAGGTTTTGTGTGCGAGGGGCTTGGACTTCCAGCAGGCATGCGTGAGTGTGTTTGATAGGAGTGAATGGAGACAAATGGTTTTTAATACTTGACGTGCTGTTGGAGTGTGAGCAAAGTAACATTTATGAAGGGATTCAGGGAAACCGGCAGGCCGGACTTGAGTCCTGGAGATGGGAAGTACAGTGCCTGCACTCTGAAGGAGGGGTGTTAATGTTGCAGTTTAAAAACTGTAGTGTAAAGCACCCTTCTGGCAAGACAGTGATGGAGTGAATGATGGTGAAAGTTTTTCTTTTTCGGGCCACCCTGCCTTGGTGGGAATCGGCCGGTGTGATAAAAAAAAAAAAAAAAAAAAAAAAAAAAAAAAAAAATATATATATATATATATATATATATATATATATATATATATATATATATATATATATATATATATATAGGTACAAATAACAAGGGAAGTAGAGCCCCTTGAAACAAATCAACACAATCATCCGGGGTTAACCTAAGAACTTAAATTATCAGGCACCTTAAGAGTCCTTTGGGGCTTCTTGCACACTATACTTTAGGTCAGTCTTGAATGATGCAGCAGCAGCTGGGAGCCCGCACCTGATCAACCATGTTAAAAAACTCGATTCGAACCCAAGGCTCCGGACTAGGCCAGTACCGGAACTGAATGATGGTATAAGAACTAAGACTTAAGGAACTCACCCTAACAACACTACAAGAGGACGAAAATGATCACTGCATATACTCAGAATATTAGTAGCTAGGGACGAGTTGCTGGAGATGCGAGCAGGAGCCAGGGAACATGGATGGCAGCTTCATCCATAGATAACCAGTGATGTTAGGAAATACTTTTTCAGTTAATGGAGTTAACAAAAGGATATGGTAGCAGCAAACATCATACGCAATTTAAAGAGTAATCATGTTAAGTCTTTGGAAGCCAGAAATCAGTAGAAATTGGTCGGAAAAAATTTAGTTGGGTTTTTTTTTTTTTTTTTTTTTTTTTTTTTTTTTTTTTTTTTTTTTTTTTTTTTTTTTTTTTTTTTTTTTTTTTGGAAACGGGTAATATCCTAATGCAACCGCAGTATTTTTCTCCACAGTGAAAAAATAGTAATATTCCAAGCGCTTGAATGATTTCTCGCATTTTCATATTTTTGTAACACATTTGGCATGAGATAACGGAGATAATAACCAACTTAGAGAGTGATAAGTAATGAAGTCTTATAATAGGTCCATTTATCCGACCTCCACGATACTGACACTGAAGAGGGTGTCAGTAACTGCGTCAAAAATTTCATTATCTTCTAAGACTGTATTCGATGACTACTAAATCAAATGTCCTGCTTAACGCTAGGTCTAAGTTGTGTCGAGCCATAATAGTAGAGTTACCGACAAAATGACAGGTAAATGGACACAGACACCACTAATGTGACATTTTACTGTGGCAACATTTCGCTTTCCAGGAGCTCTGTCAAGCGGCTTGAAAAAGCTCCTGGAGAGCGAAACGTTGCCACAATAAAATATATCACATTAGTTGCATCCTTAAGGTTTTACAAGGTCAATCTCTCGTTGCAACAGTTCCGGTACTTATTCCAGCAGCTCCTTGGCTCGTTCCGTGACAAAGCTCCTGAAGTTAACATTTCGAAGGGCAATTCCTCGTTCCAAATAATGCTACTTTTACTAACATCAGGTTTGTAATAACTCTGTATATCTTTTAACTACAAGAACGTAGCGTCTTTATTTCGTGGAAGCCACTTTAAAATGGGTTAACACTGAAGTACTTGATGCGTCTTTCACTTCCCTTAAAACTAACATTAGAGACCTGAAAACAAGAAATCTCATTCTCTCAACCAAACACAAATTCTTTTCGGCGTGTATCACAACTACTAAGAAATGTATACAAGCATTTCTACGTTATGAATATGTCAAATCCGTAATTATATTACAGTTAAAATTTTCTGGGTAGCTTTTCCGACTTCCTTTTGATAGTTTAACAGTGTTTCGAGAAATATCTCTTGCGCATGTTTCATTAAACTAACAGCTGTTACGGCGTCTCTTTAATGAAGTTTGGCAATAAATAAGTTTACACAACACTAGGTGTGACTCAAGAGTGTGTTGCACGAGAGGTATCTAAGGGCCATTATCTTTTAGCAGATGCTCTCTCCCAGCCCCTTCCCTAGAGATGATGCAAGCCCCGTACTCTTTCCTGCAAGAGAAAGGGTATATTTTCAATTTCCCCTTTACCGAGATAACTCCTTTATATTAGTCAAACTAGCTAAACCTGTCAGAGATCAGGCAGGGGATGGGGCCAATGATCGCCGAAACCATCTTCAGGTATTGTCCGTAAAGTGAAAAAGGAAAGCCTGTGGCTCTAATTAAGCAATGTGGGCGGGATGGCTGGCCTGCTGTCGTTACTCCTTGTGTGTATAAATGAGGGAGACGAGGAGCTCTGACCATCCACTGCTGGAGATCGTCTTCTTCAGGCTACTACAGCCCTCATTCCTCCTCGACACACATAAGAGATGGCTGCTACCAAGGTATATATACCTCACCTCATACAATTATACATATTCAAGATACACACAAAAAACTTTGCAAAACATCCATGTACAGAATGATTTTTCATTGCACTTTTATGTTTTACACACAAGTAATATTTGTACCTAAGCGAATGTCTAGACGAGAATATTTTCATAATACATATAACAGAACGCTTGAATACTCGGACACAAACACGTGGATAATTAAAGTACATGAAAAACATACAATCAACTTACATTGCTAAAAGCGTATTACATTTCCTTTAGTAACACTTAGCGTACATGAATGTATTAGACACATGTGCAACATCTTGGTATCTTTACTTGTAGACTATTGCACATGTGTGTAATTCGCCAACTTGTCGGTATAGAATATCACTAATATACACAGCATGAATGTACACTATATACTGTGTAAGGATTACTTGTAATCAAACAGCAACTCTACAATATCAAGTGCAAGTATATAAAAGATCTGTATGTGGACAGCCCCAGCTGCTGCTCCAGTCACTCTTATACAGAGATCCCGATACCACACGGGCCTCGTGGATGAAATACCAGATTAACTGTCCATCCTTCCTCTCTATGAAAGGAGAATCTCATAATTTGCTAATTCCATGACAATGTTGGGGTATGACTGAGGCGGCACGTGGTGAGGAAAAAGACACGTTCTGCAAAAGACCTTTTATTATTACGACGTATGACCTACATGAGGTTTCATAATGCAATTGATAAAAACAATTCTAGGTGAAATGTATACTAATAAAAGGTCTCCTTTTATCACTATATTAATGATATACATTACATTATGATATAATGTACATTATATTAATGAAATACATTAATTATATACATTCGCCTGCTCTGTAGGCTTCTTCAGAGACAGAAGAAACAGTGAAGTAAAAATAAGGTGATCAGTTCCTCTCGGCCTCGAAGAGTTTTGAGGTGGTCAGTCCCTCAGTCTCAGAGCTCTTCACTTACATATTCTTTGCTACATGTATCTTTTGCTACTGCTATTACTTTCACTACGTGGTACAACATTTATTACATATTAAACCTGAAAAGAAAACGTGTAGCTATGACGAAGACAGTTCTTATATGTATTGTACTCGTGAAAGTTTATCTTACTAAGAACACATGAATTAAATGATTAAGGTATAACTAAAACTTTACTTTAAAAAAATAACTAATCTTAGAAAGATGAAGATATCTCTAACTTCTAAATAATGATGAACGCTATCTCTATGTGAAGAAATTCTGATATAAGATCATATTAATAATAATAAAGAAAAATGCACAAAAATACACCTCGACAAACTCAGACATAATTACTAAGAATTTTATGCCAATATTCCCTTGTCTATCAAAATGCTCTGCTTATCTAATGAATCCAGTTCTACAGAATCACAACTGACCAGTGTCGATACGCAAAATATTGAGTGCACTGATACATAAAAATACAAATTACAATCATCAAAGGCTAATCTCATTGTATAGAGTAGCGTGACAGTCTATCAGAGTAGCGTGACAGTCTATCAGAGTAGCGTGACAGTCTATCAGTCTCATTAGTGAGTTGTATGATGAGTGCCATTGCTCATTACCTCTCTGATTACACTTCAACCGCTTCCATCACTTGCCCTTCCATGCAATTTTCAGCTCATTTAATATACTTATCAATCAGCAATCATCAATGCCAGATGGTTTTCGGAAAATAATATTAAAAGTTTTTTATAATATTTTTCCACTGCAAGTGCTCAGAAACGTTACTTATTTAGTGCGAGGGAGATTAGACGAAGTACAGTGCAGTACACCAGCCCAGCTGAGGCTGTGTACACAGCCCAGACAGCGTATGCAAGTCGAAACAGTGTACACAAGCCTAGCTAGTGTACGCCAACCTAAGCAATGTACACCAAGGTGAAGAATGAGACATGTGCTACATTTGGGAAACTTTAGTGAGGAAACGTTTCGCCACACAGTAGCTTCAACAGTCCAATATAAAGAAGAACGGTAGAAAAAGAGGAGGAATTTTAAGGTAATCAGTCCCTCAGCCTGGAATCGATGTATTCAGTTTATCAATCTTCAAGACTGATGGAATGAACACATCGATAAAAATACTGAACTTGGTTAAGTGTTCATAGGTGAGTGCAAGCATTTAAAAGCCCAACTCTTACCCACTTAGTCTACACGTTCAAATATCATTAGCGTGACAAAATTATTTTCGGAAAATATTTAGTGCCACGAATGAGTCCTATTACTTTAATAAATCATTTTATATGTATTTCCTTTAAAGAATCAAGTTATACATTTATTTCCGTGAATATTTCTACCGAGTATTATTTCCTGTTAAGAATCAAACTATCAAGATATTTTCTATCATGAATCTTTCTAAATTTACTTATCATAAATCATTCTATCCTACATTACCTCCTGTCATGAATCATTCCATCATACATTACTTCCCTTCATGCCCCAGACTGTAACTTTCCCCAGGAGAAAGAAGTCAGTAACCATATAACAACTACTTTCCCCACACAGCAGGTGGTTGTGGTTGTGGTAATGATAGGCGTGTTGGCGTTGTGCATGGGCGTGCCACAGTACCCTCCACCACCACCACCACCGCGCTACGGACACTCACCCTCCTACAAGGAGCCCGCACATCCTTACAACTACGCCTACGAGGTCAAAGATGGTTATAAGGGAGTGCAGTTCAGTGCTGGAGAGTCGTCTGATGGCAACAACGTAAAGGTAAGATGACACGGTCGATTAATTATTATTATTATTAATTGGAGGAACTCATCAGATTTAAGAAATGGGAGGGAAGCTCCAATTCCTTTGGATCAAGAGCCCTTCACCGGCATCAAGGCACCCTCCCTCCTTGAAGGGTCTACTGGCGATAAAAGTATACCTCTGGTCAATTTCGAGGGTCTTCCTAACTTACCAACACGCTCTTCAGTCTAGCTTCCTGCTAAGTGCCTCTTCACGAGGCTTCTGCTTTTAGCGGCCCGCTGGCAAGCACATCCATCATAGCCTGGTTGATCATGCACTTGGAGGAGGTAGTAATCCCGTTACCAGCAATACTTCTGATATCTGCTGGTAACAGTCTTCTTACTACCTATACAACACGATGCACCTGGACATTTTCAAGACCTGCTAACAACGATTCCAAGTAATGATCCTGCTAATGCAGCAGTTGCACTTCCTGCCAGGGTTGTTTATCCATGCTATGATGCGAGATACAGCCTAAAGCATCTACAATCTTATACTGTAAACAAATCATTATGTGTAGACAGAACGCTCAAGTACAGTTCAAAACATTTATTAGAGTAAACGTTTAGCCACAAGTGGTTTCTTCAGTCCCGATACAGAGGTAACCAAGAAACGAGTATAGTAGTAGTAGTAGTAGTAGTAGTAGTAGTAGTAGTAGTAGTAGTAGTAGTAGTAGTAGTAGTAGTAGTCAGCAGCAACAGTAGTAGTAGTAGTAGTAGTAGTAGTAGTAGTAGTAGTAGCAGCAGCAGCAGCAGCAACAGTAGTAGTAGTAGTAGTAGTAGTAGTACCACCCTCTTACAACTTACCACCTGATTCCTGCTACTAAATATACTCGTTTCTAAGTTATCTCTTTATTAGGACTGAAGAAGCCACTCGTGGCGAAACTTTTCCTCTAATAAATGTCCTGGGCTGTGCATAAACGTCTTTTTCCACATCTTGTCAGTATCACCATACCATTTTTCAAAGCATCATGTCACTGAGCCAGCCAGCTATTCGCCTCAAATATTTTGTCAGCTACCAACAAGCCAGCAGAAGATCAAACGCTCCGCTGAGCAGAACATCCTATGACAAAGAAATTTTTCCATTTCTCTTGACGAACAAAACACCTATCCCCGCTTCTCTCTTTTTTTATGCTCTTGTAGTATCTTTTATTGTTTTTCTTATTATATTTAGGAGGGTGCGCTGAACCCGCTGGGGGACATACAGTACCTGAGTAAATGGGAGGCATTTAGGTAAGTCAGATCCATTTTCTTGGCTGAAGAGTCCCTCCCCCGTCTTGCCCGAAAAAAGGATAATTATTAAATGGATCTCCCTTGAGGGGGACAAAACTCTATAAATTTCTACCCTTGTTTACACGACACCCTGTCTACGCAGTTTATTAAACTCATAAATGTAATAAAAACTAACCAATTGCACAAACTCGCATAAAAAAAATAAACTTAATCTCTCTTCGGCATACTGAAAAGAGCTTTGTGCTAGGCTGAATTATAGAGACCTCGTTGTTTTATTAAACTTTGTACCATGTTAGTTCCTTTGAAAAATTTATCACGTTCGAAGTGTAAAATCTGAGTTGATGGCGTGTGATTGCAGGGGTCGTACCAGGTGGCTCTACCAGACGGTCGCCTGCAAAACGTCGATTACAACGCTGACCACTACACCGGCTACAAGGCCCAGGTCACATATCAAGGTGAAGCTCAACATCCACCTCAGCCCCACTACCCTGCCCCAGCATCCTACCACCCACAACCACCATCCTACCATCCACAACCATACAGTGGCTAGATTACCCTCTTGAACCACTTAGTTATCTTGCCATAGCAGCTTCATCCCCTTCACTCTGCAGGAATCTCTGATATACTTATTAGTTTTGGCCTTATATACCGTCCTGCTGCCTTGTTCTAACAGCTCTTTGCGGCTCACTGAATTTCAGCCAGAACTTAATGAAGCTTATATAATAAACTGATAGTAAATCAAAGAATACAGTATATTTCCATTATCTAAGTTTTAAATATTTTATATTAAATTGTCCTTTTTATATTCTTAGCTTATAAAAGTATTCGTGATTTAACCCGCTCAAAAATAAGACCCCACAAATTAAGAGCAGCACTTCGTTTATCATTTACTTGCAATAAGCAGCTCTTATGTTTACAAATGTGCAGGAATGATTTCTACAAGAGTTGAGGTCAGCTCATCTGGGCTTCATTAAGCCAGCTGGGGGTATTCGGTGTCCTTCCAGTAACGTTGTGAGCTAGTCAGTTTACTGCAGAGCGTGTGGCACACCCGACATTAAAGACATTTTCAAACCCCAACACCTGTCACGCCAGTTCCAAAGCCTCCCCCACACCCAACCTTCAATACCTGCCACAGCAGTTCCAAACATCGTCCACGCCCATGCTTTAACACCTTCCAAACCAGAGTTCCAAACTTAACCAAGCCCAAGCTCCCAACATTTGTCCGTTCTGAAACCAAGCATTTTTATTCCTACAGTAACTCTCATGCACACACACCAGACTTAATTTTACTTCCCTATACAAGGAAGATCACCGTAGCAGGATGCTACAGAGTAGAGCCTGTCACCCACTGGTTCTCTCGGTTCAATCCTCCCCCCCCCCCACTCACCTGTATTAAAATGTGACACACTGAATCCATGTAGATTACCCAGCTCTAAGAGGGGTGAAGGCTCGGTCCTCCGTTTCCTAAACCACCATCACTTAATTGACATAACATACTCAATGCCATCTACGACCTTGAACTACCCGCCACTACCACCAACATACAACATATATCACTGCTTATTACCAAACAACATATACCAATCACTGCCATTACTACTACTACTACTAGTTCACTACCCTGACCACCATCCACATGCACTCAACATATAAACATTAATACCAATCTCCAATGTTACTCAACACATTATCATGCCCACACTGTCACATGCCGCTGCAAACATTTTTCTAACTTAGCTTTATGTTCACTATGTTTGTTAAGAATTGTTGCAAGTTTTCAATAATCTTCAATAAAAGTTAAAAAAGTTAAGATGATTGTATGACATTTTCCCCAAGTGTTAACTATGTCAGGTCAAGAGATGACGTGCAATCCTTCTTCACTGTTCTTTGAGAAAGTGATTGACACGCAACAAAAGCGGAACAAAAGAGCGTTTAGAATTTGTTTCGATTTCATTGTGGTCAAGTTGCATAATCGGGTATCACGTGTTTTTTTTTATTGCATTTATCTTGTACATATATCTTATATAGTTTTCTTTTTAGTCAAGAGATTACAAACTTAGCTTATAAAGTAAGGAATGTTTAGCCTAAGTTTATTTCTGCAATAACTCCGCGATGATCAGTCTGAACTTCACGAACTCCCTACATTTCCTTCGTTTTAAATAAAACTAATTTAATTTAGGCCGCCTCAGACGAGTCTTGTAGGATTATTCTAAACTATTTCAAGTTTATTTTTATAAAGCCTAGTAAGGTTGCCGAGTTAGTTTTGATGCACACTTAAACTGTAAATCACGTTTATTCACAAAAATAAAACTTCAACGCTTTGCCGGGTATACATGCCATGGACATTTACAAAGACATATACAATAACAATTTGATTTCACAGACCATCCTTCCTATATATACTTCAGCGTGCATCCTTCCAGACATGTACATGAACCTTAAAGAACAATAAATGCAAAACACCTACACAAACCTCATATATTAACGTATAATACATCAATATATTCATAAAACGTTAAAAAAAAACAACTAAATTCAAATATCTGGAACACCAATTGAAATTTAAAACAAACAATTGCCTGCTAGGCAACAAAGGCGCTGTATTAACAAAGCAAGATCCAGTGTCACAACATGCCTACAACCCTCGCACTCGTATATACAAAAAAGGTAAAGTTTCTGGTGCATTTCTATTAGTGTCGTCCAAACTGCTAGACTTCCTCATTTTTATGGCCTCATTTTCAGAGTTCTAGCCGCAGCTTGCATATTCTAAACCATAAAATTCTTTAACATAATGGCTTGGTGGGCATGTTTTAGTTTGTACTGAAAGTGGATACCAGGTATGAAATTGTCAGCGCCGGAATTTGTAGGCACCACGGACGAAATTCTAAGCACAGGAAATATAGGCACTACGGATGAAATTCAAGCATCGGAACTGTAAACACCACGAACGAAATTCTCGGCACTACGAACAAAACTGTGGTTAGCACGGAATGAATTAGACACCACAAAAATTATATGAAAAAAAAAAAAAACCGACGAAATATAACATACTGTAATATTTTTCTTACAATGAAATGAGATGCGTCAAACTTCACATAACGAAATTATTACAAGATACACATTATTATATTAATGGGTAAGCTCAAAACCAGGCAGGGTCAAAGGGCTCCTTGGGAATATGCGAGTTATCAGGTTTGATCCAAGAAAATGGAGACTAACTGGAATTACTTGAACCAAGAGATCAATATAAAAATATTTACAATTTAAAATTGCAATGGCTCATTAAATGAAAAATAAAAAGTGTTACATAGTAAATGAAAAATAAAATTATGTTGTGTAAATAAAAAATAAAAATAGCGCAGCTAAGATACGACGTTTTCAACTTGACAAATATATACTTCAATTCAAAAAGTTCAGACACGCAATAAAATTTAAGTTCAAAGAACTGCCATAAGATGATTGACAGAGTTGAGAATGATGATCTGTATTCATCCTGGCTGCAAGACACAACATATGGCAACTACACTTAAACTCATCAAAGATATGATTAAAAAAAAATAAGAGTTCTTATAAATTCATCAAAGATGCGATAAAAAAAATAAGATTTCTTATAAATTCATCAAAGATGCGATTAAAAAAAAAATAAGATTTCAAGATTTATTTTCAATTTACCAAAAAAAAAAAAAGAAATAAAAAAAAAGATTTCTTTTAAATTCATCAACATTAAGATAAAATAAAACAATATTTCTGGGTGGAAACAAAAGCCCATTTTTTATAAGATAAAAAAAGGCGCTACAGAAAGCATAGAAGAAAATTAGTCAGAAAGTGATTGATAGGTTGAGCGAGGTCAAAGAGAATTATGTTTTATACAAAAATTTCAAACATTAAAATGTACAAACGAAATATATTATAGAAGGAAAGCTACCAACCTAAGCTTTATTACTGTAAATACAAGTTGGTTTTATTACTATCATGGGAAGCACTAAACCCGTGAGGGGTATAGTTCCTGGGGAATGGGAGGTAAGAAGAGGGGTAACTCCAATTCTTTGGATCAAGAACCCTTCACTGATATAGAAAGGTGCAAATACACACACACACACACACACACACACACACACACACACACACACACACATTGATCAATCAATCCAGGGCTAAACAATTTTACACAAAAATCCAGAAACAGACGATTCAATAATAAAAAAAAATATATATAGATTCATTATTAAATGTTACTGCAAGTACATAGTATATTTTTTCTTACAAATTAAAAAAAAAGTTATTAGTAAAAGTAGTATTTCTTTTATCACCAAAATTTTTAATCATCAAATAAGTTTATTAGAAGGTGAGAGAGCAGAGGTCAGTGAGCGCCACCCACCACAATGGACTTCTCTCTCACCCACTCAACCATAATAGATATCGAAAAGCTGAACTGACCTTTTTATCACTATTTCTAAATTTTATTAATAATCTCTACGGAGGAAAATAAATTTTAATATACAAATTATTGATGCACTGAAATATAGCCTTCCTGTGTTTTTGATTCCTGCCCAAAATGACAACCTGGCAAATTTTTTATAATGTCGTGCCGAATAGGTAAAACTGGTCAATTATCAAGAACTCGTTTAAAAATTAAGTCCTTTCTAAAACTTTCTCTTATACGTTTAAAGATATCTTTTTTTTCATTTACGTCAATGTAAAAATAAAAAAAATTGTACCAAAAGTACCTTAGAAAACTTACCTAACCTTATTATAACAAACGCAATTTAATTTAGCTTAATCCAGCTAAATATACTTTAGATAAGTTTACAATAATTTAATAAACAACACAATGAAGTATATTTTTTTCGTTAGGTTCAGAATGATTTTTGCGAAATTATTGAATACACAAATTTTCGTTTGCCTTATTCGGTAAGAAGAGCGTTTTATTTAAGCCAAAATAGCAAGTTTTACCTATTCGGCACGATTATATATATATATATATATATATATATATATATATATATATATATATATATATATATCATATATATATATATATATATATATATATATATATATATATATATATATTGCTGGTTTCTTGTCTCGAAAATTCTGATAACGGGTATGTCTTACAGACTTCTACACAATTCAGTGCACCCTTATCTTTATCGAGCTTTCTTATCAGTTCTTAGTCCTTCAATACAGGGCACAGATGACAAGTGTGCCACCAGCCACCGTTAATTTGCTTTCAAGATATATTCTGTTGTCTACTAAACTTTCACTCATATTATGTCACTTCAACGCTGGAAATTACAAAAAAAAAAAAAATAGAGCATACAGAAATGTTAGATAACGCTCGATCACCACAATGATCTGAAACCCGCCAACACCACCCCACCCAAGCTCCTTCACCCTACTAACCCCCATCACAACACTCACCCTACTAACCCCCATCACATCTCTCACCCTAACCCACCCACTCACCTCATTAATTGTCTTACATTAACCCACCCACACTTACCCCCCTCATCACTCTCACCCCACTAAACTTGAAGCAGGTAATGCGATTGACGAAAACACTTCACCATAAATTGCAGAAAGAAAATCCATGAATACGCAGGTACAAGAGGAGGCTTCTCAAGATCCCAGACGTTATTAACAAGTTATGCCAATCGAAGTAGTTTAAAATTTGAACCCGCAAATATAAATTTTGTCGAGCATACAGTGAAATACATAATTTCCCCAACGAAGGAAACTGAATCTCACCCATGTTTTTCGAAGCTGTAAAATAAAGAAAATAAGAAATGAAAAGAAGAGAGATTGGAAGATGATTTTTGCAGGCTGCAGATGTGGTAAAAAATAAGTGGTGCCTAAAATTTAATCCTGATAAGTGAAGAGTCACGTTAATGTGTTTTTTGACTACGTGGATAAGGTATTATACATCCACACTCACACCACAATGTATACTGAAAAATAAAGTAATTAGTTATGACCGCACTTGCGACGATAACAGTAATTACTGTGAGGGTGATAGTGAGAGAGATAGCGAGAGGGGATGAGTGATGGTGAAAAAGAAAGTGAGAATGAGTGATAGTGAGTTGGTGGTGGTGATGCTTCTTACAATGGTGTTTCATATGAAAAGGATTACCGAAAATGCGTGTGTGTGTGTGTGTGTGTGTGTGTGTGTGTGGTGTGTGTGTGTGTGTGTGTGTGTGTGTGTATGTGTGTGTGTATTGTGTGTGTGTGTGTGTGTAATGATGTGTGTGTGTGTGTGGTGTGTGTGTGTGTGTGTGTGTGTGTGTGTGTGTGTGTGTGTGTGTGTGTGTGTGTGTGTGTGTGTTGTGGTGTTTGTATATATATATATATATAATATATATATATATATATATATATATATAAAATATATATATATATATATTCTTCCTTGAAGCCCTTTTATCCATTTCTCCGAGGCTATGGGTCCCACAATTTGTAGCAGACGTAGACCCCATCTGTGTGTGTGTGTGTGTGTGTGTGTGTGTGTGTGTGTGTGTGTGTGTGTGTGTGTGTGTGTCTGTGTGTGTGTCTGTGTGTCTGTGTGTGTGTCTGTGTGTGTGTCTGTGTGTGTCTGTGTGTGCGTGTGTGTGTCTGTGTGTGTTGTGTGTGTGTGTGTGTGTCGTGTGTGTGTGTCTGTGTGTGTGTGTCTGTGTGTGTGTGTCTGTGTGTGTGTGTGTCTGTGTGTGTGTCTGTGTGTGTGTCTGTGTGTGTGTGTCTGTGTGTGTGTGTCTGTGTGTGTGTGTCTGTGTGTGTGTGTCTGTGTGTGTGTGTGTGTGTCTGTGTGTGTGTGTCTGTGTGTGTGTGTCTGTGTGTGTGTGTCTGTGTGTGTGTGTTCTGTCTCTTCGTGCTGAATGCATAAAATTTGCGATTTTGGCTTAAACAGCAACGCACTTCTTGCCAAATCAAGATAGGCGAAAATTTGTGTATGCAATAATTTCGCAAAAATCATTCAG